TTGAACTTTGGTTAGGACAGCTCAGCTAGCAAAGTCTATGCAAGTATTCTGAAACCAGAAAAACTCTGAAATTGGAAACACTTGAGCATTTGGATAACAATTAACCTGCACAATGCATTTATGTAAAAGAAAACATAGGAAGATCCAGGCTGTCCGCAGGATTTTGAATCTCACCAGAACCTTCAGGAAACTCTCACTGGGCTCAGATTGTGCTAAGAGCCTTCAGCCCCTGGGAGGACTTCTCAGAGTTGTAGGCAGGGCCCTGGCCTGCTCTGGCAGCCAAGGAGAGCCATCCCCACCAAGCCTCCTCCAGAAGCCGGCACCCTCTCTGTCATTTCACATTTTCATAATCACATTTTCCACTGCTGCCTTCTATCACTGAAAAGGGGAGCTGCCTCCTAGAGGGATGGAGAAAATACCAGGAAATGAGCCTAAAAACATCAGAGTTTAAAAAACAAAAACACACATATTAGTGCCTTACTGAACTCTATTCTAGGGGCCGCTTCTTGCCCCAGCTGGATTTGTGAGTTCCCCAGGACAGCACGGAAGGGAAGAGGTACACAAAAGGGGGAAATAAATACAAGTCGCGTGTCACCTTGGAGAGAGGGTACAAACGACTGGCCAATGGCAGTGCAGCAAGCATCCTGAAGACTGCAGCTTTGGGGGCTTTCTGAGTGGTTTCCATGGTTTCCATGCCTTCCTAATCCTCACCCAAACAGCTCTCCTTCCGCTCACCTTGTGTCTCCGAGCTGGAGGAGAAATGAAATAAGTGTGACAAATATGCCGATATCGAGCAAGAGAAAGGAGGGAGAAGGAGAAAGATGGAGCGGGAGAGAGGCAAGCCTGGGGCTCCCTTCAGGACAGAGGATCTGAGTGCTTGCCTGGGGGCCCTGAGGGCGTTGCTGGGGGCCAAGCTTGACCAAACTCTGATTTCAAAAAAGTCCATGGATCAAATAGACTGGATTTAAATAGGAAGGTGAGCAGGCTGCTGATAATGGAGGGCAGATCTCGCACAGCAAATCATTTGTGAGTCCAGAGCCCAGAGTCTGTGGGACCAGAGTCTGCAGCCCCCACGGTTGGAGTCTGATCCCCTAGAAGCCCCAGCTTTTCTCCCCTAGCTGAGCTACGAGCTATATGGCCTCACCAGGCCTGTGTCCTTATCTCTAAAAAGATGGGCAGGGTTGCTGTGGGTCCTGAAAATCCTATGATGATGGTCCTGGCTCATGCCTAGAACACAGGACTGCAATAAATAGTAACTTTCAAAAAAAAAAAAAAGCCTCATTGAAGTACAACACAGTGTGATAGAACGTCAACTTGAAGGGTACATTTGATGGGTAATGACACATGTATAGGATATGGAACTGCTCCCACAATCTAGGGAGAGAATACTTCCAGGATCCCAGAAATTTCCTTCTGCCCCTCTGCTGCCGGTTCCCCAGCCTACCCCATCTTGGCCTCAGGTTTTCATTCCCAAGTTCTAGAATGTCATAAGCAGAGAAGCCTCTGGGCTCCAGCTTCTTCCCTTTCCCATGTCTCCAAGGCCCATCCATGTGATTGAAGGCATCAGCAGCTGGGTCTCATGCTGTCACATGGATTCAAAGGTAACTCTAACATCTCACTGTGCTTTGACTCTGCCCAACACTACCTTGTTCTGATGCTGCTGTTGCCCCTTGGGTCTTCTAAGTATGTTCTGAGGTCAGACCCAGGAGCACCTGATGGGAGGAAAAGAGGAGGGGAAAGAAGGGGGTGGGGGAAGGGGAGGAGCAACTACTCAACCCAGTCCCCCCCACACTGCAAAACACCCACACCCAGAACAACTGTATCCGCGGGTAGCGCCATTGGGACCAACAGTGAGGTTGTGCTTACCTGCCCCCTTGTTTGATCCTTTACCAAATCTCCTCTTTCTTGCCTTAGAGTCTCATAAAGAAGGAGGTCTGGAAGCCCCCCACACTCACACATCATGCCAGAAAAGTCTAGACCCTTCTATTTATTGATTTTTCCCCCTTTCATTCAACAAGAAATTAGTGAGCATCAGCATGTGCCAGGCACAAGCAACGCTGGGTAGCAGAATAGGGGCTGTCCCAGGATGCAGGGCCCTGCCAACCCCATCCCTATCACCTCTTCTGCCTGACACAGCCCAACAGCAGCGTAGGAATGAAGGGCGCCCCTCCAGCATCCTCCAATTTCCCACTATTCAGCTCAGACCTGAACAGCAGCAGGTGGCTGAAAGGATTCGCAGGTGTCCTGCGTGCCCTCTCATCCTCCCTTTTTTCTTCCTCTCTTTTCATCTTTTTCAAAATGCTCCTAATAGAGGGAAAGTTAGCATGAAAGGAGACAAAATGAGGCTCGGGAAGAATGTCTGATGCTCTACTATTTGTTCACCTGTGAAGTTCTTTCTCCTGCCCCCTCGCTGCGGGAGGCTCTCCTGCAGCCCTCACTGCGCAGCAGCAGGAGAAGGGAGTGGCCGGGGGCTGGGAGAACTGGCAAGGTTGGGGTCTGGCCTTGTAGCAACAAGGAGGTCAGGACCTTAGGGGACCAGGGTCTACCACCACATCCCTGCTGGTGTCTGTTGGAGCTGGGGACAGGAGACTCAGCACCCACAGAAAATTCTCTTCCTACCTGAAGGCAAGAGCCTGAGGTCCACGGTGGCAGGGGAAGGTGACCTCCCTGTGGGGCAGCTTCCAGGCCTTGTTCCCCCAGGGACTCAAGCTGTCAGTAGTCCTCCCTCTCACCTGCACTGGCCACATAGAAGAGGAGGTTGGGCATCTGCTCCAGGCTAGGCCAGGACCCTGCTCGGCTTAGTGTTTCAAAAAACCTCAACATGCCTTCATCCATGTCACCTCCCAGCTCTGTCCTGAACCAGCCCTCTTGGCCACCTCCCCCTACCCACACGGGAAGGTCAGGACCCACATCTGAGGAAGAGCCAGTTGGAGAAGACCCAACCTGGACCCTTCCTGGAGGAGAGGCAGTTCCTTGGCTGCCCATCAATAAGCCTACAAGGGGAGAGCTGCTAGCAGTCGCTTTCCTGGGAAACAGAGGGGTGCGATGCCAGCAAGCCTCGCATCTCTGGAGAGGTTGCATGGCTCAGTGGTTACAGCGTGGGTCCCAGAGCCAGGCTGTCAGGGTTCTGATCAGATCAAATCTATTAGCTACATATTTATTGAGTGATCAAGACTATAACTGGAGGGATCCAGGTACTAAGAGCATTGACTCTAAATCGCCACACCTGGTATCACTCAGACATCCTTAGACCAGTGCTGGACACATAGCAGATGTGCAGCAAAGACTGTTTCCCAAGTGCAGTGCTACGACTCAGCCAGGCCATCCCCTGTGCGCCAGCCAAAGCAGCTCTGGGCCCCATTGGCAGGACTCAATGGTGGAGAGTGTGTACCTCTCCTCACACCTGTCAGATAGCTAGGCAGAGCCAGGAGAGAAAATTCCCAGGGCCTCTGGCCCCAAGCCCAGGATCCCTGGGGCAGAAGCCCATCCAGGCTGAAAAACTAAAGGAGCCTGAGCTCTTTCTCAGGGGTCACCTCCACACAGAACCATGCCAGGGGCACCACTCGCATCAGCAGTGTCCACTGCCGAGGCTAAAGAGCAAGCTCAGGAAGAGGGCTGTTACGGTTTGTGTCTGGGTGTCCCCCCAAAGCCTCATGCAGCCATGGGGCAGGCTTTTAGAGTTTGATTGATTATGGGTGTGAGAGCTACACCCGCCCTGGGGTGATAGTTTGCATATGTAACGGGAGAGGAAGAGGCTGCTTGCAGCTATTCCTGGCTTTTGTTTTTGTTGTTTTGCTGTGTTCTGCTGCAATGAGCTGTAGCCCTCTGCCATGTGCCACTCTGCCTTGTAACTTGCCAAGTACGGACTGAAACCTCCACAAACTGTAAGCGAAATAAACCTTTCCTTCCTTAATTTTGGGTGTCAGGTATTTTGTCCCAGCTACGAGAAAAAAGTAACCGAGACAAAGGTCCATCTGCCCACTCAAAACTGGTTACAGGACCCAAAGGGTAAGTCCAGGAAGCAAGAGGCAGAGCCTCAGATGAAGGCGCCTGGAGAGCTCCCTGTGCCCAAGGGAGCACAACTAGGTGACATGGTTTTCCCTTCTCCTAGATCATGAGGCCTGGTTTTGTCCAGAGAGATATGGCAAGAGCACCCTTCCCCCAACCCATCTCACACTTACACATCCCCCTGCTCCTCAGAGGACAAGGGCTTCAGGGACCCACAGTGAGCATAAGTGTGGTTTTCTCTTGGCCTCACACCCTAGAGATTTCCACTGGGCTGTGGCCAGCTCAGGGGGAGATGTCAGCTTAATCAGGAAGCCTCCTGCACTGCAGGAGAGAGACAGACAAGGGACAGTCGGAGGGGTAGGCACAAGGCCAGGCCCCTTCCAGTGGAGGCAGCAAGTGGGGAGACACAGGAGAGAAAAGTAACCAGGGAGACTGAGATAGAGGCTTGTGCCGTGGGATGGGCACTAAAATGTGTGTGTTCATGCATTTAAATTTGCTGTATGTGCAAGTATATGATGTGCAGGAGTGCAAATGTGTGTCCATGTGTGCATGTGCGTATGGGTGTGTGCAAGTGCACATGTGAACACATATTGGTGCAGAGGGGTGTGTGGTGTGCGAACAGAGGAGCATGTTGCCAAAAGTGTGTAGGTGTATGTTTGCAAATGCAGTGTGTGCAAGTGTGTACATGTGTGCAAATATGTGTGTAGGTATGTGTGTGCCAATACACATGCATGCAACTCACTCATTGTGACTTTATTTTGTACCGGGAATCGAACTCTGGACCTTGCGCTTGCCAGACAGGCACCTGTGCCACTAAGTTATATCCCTAGCTCAACTCACTCATATATGTAAGTGTACATGTGTGAGGGACGTGCAGAGAGCTGGGAGGAGGAGGAAAGAAGGGCAGGGAAAACCCCACAGTCACAGCACTGCCCAGCATGTCTGCCACACAGAAAGCACTGACAGGAAGACAGGTGGTCCTTGTTTCCTACCTGGTACACCAGATGTGCAAGGACTACTGTTCCCTGTCCGGAAGACCTCAGGTCCCAGATGCATCTCCCCTCCCATGGGATTGGATCACTGCACTCTCCCAACTCCACTGTCAAGGCCAGTAGGCCCCACTCCTACCAGGAAGGAGTTAAGCGTCACCTCGCCCAGGAACCAGGGGATTTCCTGACAGCTCCTCTGGGCAGGTGACGTAAGCTGTTTATCTAGTGCTCAGCCAAAGAACCTTCCAGCCCTCCGTTCATCTAAATCTGGAGCCTCTGGGGACGGGCATAGCTGGCTTATTTCCACCCAGCATCTTGGAACAGTCCAGGCTCGTATTCCCTTTAGACTTTTGGTGCATAAACAACAACCCTGTGGGAGGATTGGCAAGACTAGATTCCTTCTCAGACTGATTCCCCAGGGTCGCTGGTGTTCCCAGGTGTCACAACCTGCCTGCAGAGCCCAGCCTACCTGCAGAGGTGAGAATCCCCACAGGACCCACTGTGCGACTGCCTGGAGCACTAGGGTCTGTACCTAGAGCCATGAGACCAGATGCGTGCTGAGATGGTTGAGAGCCAGGCCTGGAGCCCACCCTGCATTCTCATCCCTGAGGCCAAGGAACTCTGATCTCAGAGAAAGGCAGCCCTATCCACTCTACTCAAGGACCCCACATTTAACCTGGGAACAATGGTACTTGGGCAGAGAGGGTCAGAGGATGTCTGTCTGGCACCCTAGAGATGAGCAGTCAGTGCTGGGTAAGTCCTGGAAGGCAAGGGACTCAGGTGTGGGGTACAAAGGACCCAGTTGCATGTGTGTGTGTGGGCGGGGGGTGACAAAGGGATACAGGCATGTAGGATAGGGGACTCTGGGGTGGGGAGGAAGGATCCAAGTCCCTTACTTGGATCCACCATGGTATCCAATCCCTCCTCTATTGGGTGGCAGCTATGTGAGTTTCTGTTTCCTCATCTATGCAAGGATGTGTAATTCTGTGTCCCCATGCCTGGGGCCTGGCCTAGAGCACTCCTTTCCACTGCCCTACCGATTTGGGACCCAGGGAAAGCCCTGTTGCCTCCCCATGCCCTCCTCCTCAAGAGCTCAGGTTCTCTCCCTCCCCTTCCTCTCTGTGTCTCTCTCTGGCTCTCCCCACTTCTCAACCTGGATCCCTTCCCTTCACTCCAGGACCTCTTTCTCCCATGTCCAGGCTGGCCTCCTACACTTGGATCCTTACCTCTCCCTCCAGATCCCTGGCCTTCCTCACCTGGATCCCAGGTCCCCATCACCTGGATCCCTGGCTATTGCATTAATAACCCTTAGTTATTGTGGCTGACCAGCCCACAGTCTCCCAAATGAGTGGACTGCCAAGGCTTAAATAAATGAATTGAAATGATTTTAGGGCTCCAGGAGGGTTCAACCATCTCACAGAATTCAAGATTCTCTGGGCAGCCCATATTTATTAGGTTTTCAAACAAAGGAGGGGAATACTGAAGAAAATGCAGGAAACTGAGCAGGACTTGGGAACCCCGTTAAGGACTTCTCCAAGTAATACTTTATGTTAAATTAGGACTATGTTATCTCCAGGAAGGCCTTCACCGCAAGAGTGAGATGCCTGTAGCTACAGTCTCCTCTTAGTTAATTGGGGTTGGAGTCAAATGTCCTCAGCTGTGACCTTTGTCCTTTGAGGTGTCCCAACTTCACAGGCCAATACAGGCCTGAGCAGGGGACCAGTGACTCACAGAGGTTCACTTACTATGAGTCCACTGCCCATCTCCAGACAAGGTGCCTAAGCTTTGGACAACTCACAAGTAGACATGGAAAGCCAATTGGTTAATATTAAGTCCTGCTCAGAGCTGCTTCATAGCAGTCTCCATCACCTTCCTCCCTACACCACATCTTTTACCCCTTGCACCTGGATCTGTTGAATCTCACATTTGAATCTCTGGAAACTTACACCTGGATTCCCTTGCCCTCATACATGGGTACCTTGTCCTGAACTCCTGAGTTTCTTGAACTAGACACCTGGATCCCTTACCTTTCACACCTGGGTCTCTTGCTGCCAACACCTGAATCCCTTGAATTCCACACTGGGATCCCTTACTCCTTACCCAAGAGTCCCCTATCCTACAAGACTGGATCTCTTTGTCACCTCCCCACAAAATACACACACACATACACACACACACACACACACACACACACACACCTGGATCCCTTGTACCCCACACCTAAGTCCCTTGCCTTCCAGGACTTACCCAGAACTGACTGCGCATCTTTAGGTGCCAGACAAATATCCTTCTCTTCTGAATGACATTGCTGTCCCAAGCATGGGGCAGGTGCCTCTCCTGGGGGGTTGTATTGTGCCCCAAACTTCCCCCACCTCCAATCAATTTCAGAGGACTGGAACCTCCTGCTGAACCTTGGAGGACAGGAACTGCCTGATGAACTGCCTGCCTCCCTCTCTGGACTGTCATCCCCTTGAGAGCAGATCCTCCTGCCAAGCATATGGTAACTGTTGGTGAAATGCATATGGAGGGCTGGGCATATGGCTCAGGGTGGGGTACTTGTCTGGCATGGGAGAGATCCTGGGCTCCACTTCAGTACCACAAAAAAAAAAAAAAAAAAAAAAAAAAAAAAATACAAAGAACAGGAAAGTGATAGGTTTGGAATGAACAGTTTCCCAGAGGAGAGCAAAACTCCACCTCCAGGACCAGGGCCAATTGAGATACAACTGAGCACCTTTAGAATGGCCGTGGTGGGGAGGGCCCATGGGCACCCACCCTGCCCCCACTCTGCAGCTTCCATCCTCCATGGTCCCTGCCATCTCAGCCAGCCACTCACACTCTGAGGCAGCTCGAGGCTCACAGTGTGATATAGTTCATCAGCTGTTACCATGGAGACCAACCAGCAGTCAGCTCCATGCCCTCCCTGTGCAGGGGCCAGGCAGAGCAAAGGTACATCCAGCTGTACTCAGGGAGAGCCCCTCAAGAAGGGGGATACATGTGGCTCTGTAACGCATAAGCCAGGACTGGTCCGCACCTACCACCTGCTTTCATCCTATAGCTGGTGACTTCAGGCAAGCACTTCAGCCCCTCAGGCCTCAGGACTGCAGATTGCAGCAGGATGAAACAAGCCCATGTAGGGCATGAGACTGTAACCATGTCACTTGGGTGTGTTGACCTCTTTGTTAGCTTTCTGGGAACTGCCAGAGTAAGAGTTTTTGTCCCCGACCCTTATGTCCAATTCTCCCATCCCACCCTAACTCAGATGGGCCTGGAGGTAGGTCATGGTAACACAAAAAGATTTCATATGACATCTGAAAACAAAAAGACTCTACAGGGCAGTGAATCAAATGTTCAGTGTGGCCTGGCTTTTTGGCCCTGATGGTAGGTGCCACATTGGTCACTTCCTGTAAGAAACAAATCTGCCACGAACTACGTGGACTCGTGTGTGCAGAATGGCTTCCAAGTCTTACTGGAGTGAGACTGGGGCTTCGGTCTCCTTGTGCCTCAAATGACTATTTCTGGGGATGGTGGAACATCCCCAGGACCACTGGATTCCTGCGACAGGAGCATGTCAGGGTACTATAGCCACCCCTGGACACCAAGAAGTTGTCTCTCTATCCCTCTACCACCAGCCCGGGTCCCAGTAGCACTGACTACCTGTCTCGTGGGTAGGCCTGAGCCCTGATCAATATATGCATACACTTCCTTCTCCCCAAGGTCACCTCAGCCCAGGTGTTAGGCAAGGGTAGCTCAGCTGTGTTCCAGTAGGGGAACCTATGATTTGTAAGCTAGTAAGCTATAATAGTAAAGCTGCGTAACAAACAATTCCAGAAATCTCAGACTTGGAACAACAATGATGGACCTTCTCTCCTCTTTGTGGATTCAGGTCTGCAGCTGCTTGGCTCTGGATGTAACCATGGTGTGTGGCCACACCAGCACCAATGGGACCCCCAAACTCTGCCTCTATTCTGGACTGGAGGACTGCAAAACCACTTTGCAAAAGACACAAATGAGAAATTCTATACTGAGGAAGGATGAAAAGGTTTGGATACAAGAATGCAATCTGCCACCAACTATCAAGAGGAGACAATAAAAAAGAACTTGGCCCTACCCATGCTTATGCCTGCACACTCTCCTACACTCTCCCTCCCTCCCTCCTGCTCCCCTAGAGGGACTCAATTCCGAGGTGTAAATACGCTTCCGAGTCTGCCCACCTCAGTGCTGCTGTGCATGTCAGATGAGAAGATGCAGGGATGGTGCCGCAGACGGGAACACACTCCATGTGGGAATGCACTCCATGTGTGTGAAGCATCACCTGACCCTGATTCTGTGCTCAGGAAGAAGGAAGCTCCTGCTGGGTCCTGAAGTTTGTCAGTTTTCTAGTAAGCTTCCTTTTGTTCCTTCCCAAAGCTCTGCTCACCCCAGAAAAAAATGTCAACACTTGTGATGGCGTTTTAATTGTCCCAGGGGCATTGATCATTATTATGAATCCAAGAATAGATGAGCTATTAATGTTTGACAGTGCAGTCATGCAGGGCTATACGTCATGAAATGTTCAATGAAGAACATTGCTTTGGTCTTCCAAGCACCTTCTCATCTGTTGTCCCACAGGGAGGAGGTTTTCTCCCAGTTAGAGGGGGGTCTGCAAACAGGGGGCTGCAGGATGGTGCTGGAAGGATGGGCACAGGTCACTTCTCTATCTTGGAATGGGATTTGCACACTGAACCTGAGTGCACAGTGCACAAACACACACACACTGTGGGCTCCATCTTTTCTCCCTGGTCACTGAAGTTTAAGGTTCCCACCTCCTTCCTAGTCCTGTGTCCTGGTCCCGCCTTTCCTGCTCCCCTGGAGTCTTACTCACCAATGACCTTTTGGCACCTCTGCCTCTCCCTCTGCACAGCTCCATCCTGCCTCCATGACAGATGTGTTCATGCCTCAACCGCACACCACCTGCTCCACATGCATGCCTTCTTTGCTGCCATCCCTAGATTAGGTGTTTCTGAAAGCAGAGTCCAGGACCCAGGCTTAGGGACAGGTACAGTTTTAAGTATCTACATGAGTTGCACTTTTTTCTCCACGAGATAATGCCCAAGGTCTAACCTCTCATTCCTGTGAAGGAAGAGGATCAAGTCCAGGAGGGTTCACACTGTACTTCAGTGGACTCTAATGCATTGATGGACTTCCTTAAAAGAAGGAAAATTTGGACACACAAACACTTTGGGAGACCACTGAGGCCTCATATTGGAGTAATGTGTATAAGGTGAGGCATGAAAAGGATTGCAAGCACCCACTGGAAAACAGAGGAGAGGTCTGGTGCTGATTCTCCTGAGATCCTTCAGAGGGAACTATCCCTGCCAACACCTTGACTTTGGACTTTGGCCTCTAGACCCAGGAGAGAATATCTGGATGTCATTTTAAGCTTCTCTAGTCTGTTTGGGGTTGTTGCTGCAGCCACAAAACCCAAACACAGTGTGTACCTCCTCGAAGCTTCTATGGTCCGCCAAAGGAAATGAGGCTGTGGTCACCTGCAACAAGTTCTTTTGCACGCAAAGGACAGCTGTAGCCCAGCGGAGAAGGCAAGATATAGGGTTGGAGTCCTGCCCAGATCCCCACTTGACCCATCAGAGAGGGTCGGCACCTTGTGTCCCCATCCGGAGCTCCCCAACAGCCAAGCAATGATGTCAGCACCCAAGTTCCAACCTTAAGTATCATAATCAGAAGAGATCAACACCTTGCTGTGCACACTGACAGGACTCCACCAATTTCCTGGCCTGCCTACCACTCTGACCGTCTCATCAGAGGTACTAATGGGGGAAGGCAAGCATCTACAACCATCCTGCACACAGCAGTGGCTTGGTGTCCTTCCTGTTCTTCCCAATGGGGAAGCAAGGACAGAGACAGACAGATGCTCTCAGGAGCACTGATAACAAAGACAAAGCCTCCTCTCTGTGTGCCCCACCCGTTTGTCCCCTCTGCTCCAGCAGAAACCTCCTTACTCCTCGCCAAGGATTTTGCTGCCTTTCCAGGTACCTAATACCACTTAACTCTATCCAGAGAGCCCTGCTTTGCACATTCATTCAACAACCCCACTCCAAGCACTCAGACTGCACCTTACATCACACGATGCTCCCAGGGAGCCCTAAATGACAAAGGCACTGTCCCTGGCTCTAGGAAGCTTCCCCAGTGTACCTCCAAGGAAGAGACATGGGACCTGGGGTGATGAGAGAAACTCAAAACTGTGCTGGGGTCCCCATGAGCTTCCAGTTTCACTTTTTCTCCTGCCTGTCCCTTAGGGAGCTCTGCCAATCCAAGTCCCAAGATACGCATCCACAGATGTTGCTGGAAACATCATTTTACTTAAAAATGGGCAGGGAGCTCGGTGCAGTGGTGCATATCTGTAGTCCTAGCTATTTGGGAGGCTGAGGCAGGGGGATCACACATGGAAAGCCAGTCTAGGCATCTTAGCCCTGTCTCAAGATAAAATTTTAAAAGGGCTGGGGAGGAAGCTCAGTGGTACAGCACTTTCCTGGAATGCTCAAGACCCCAAGTTCAATCTTCAGTAATGGGGGGAAAATATCAGAAAGGGGGTTAATTTAAATCATTCAATTGGTAAGAAATCTAAAACATTAACTGTCCCGCTAAGGTATGTAAAACTAAATTTGGGGGAAGACACAAGTCTCCTGAATTTTTAAGACAAGCCTCTGCTGTCCATAAGCTCCAGTTCACTTCTGTCTGCAACCCCAGACCCTGGGGCCTGCTCTGCTTTCTCCTGCTTCCAGTCACCCAGCTGCAACAGGCAGGAAGCTCTCCTGGGCCTCACTCCAGACCCCAGCCTCCTCCTCAGAAAGCCTCCCAAAAGTTGGAGCCAAAACTGCACAGGGTTTCCTGGGAAGGGGCCAAGGGCTCTCCCCGTAGCAGCAGTGGTGGAACAGAGCCATTAATCATTCTTCTCCCTCAGCTCTGTCAAGCCAGGCAACCTCCTGTAGGTGCCACATAAATACAGTTAACCTTCAAGAAGTCCAGGTGCCACCCTCAGAGGGAGAGCTCCCCGCAAGAGGCCCCTCTTGGACTCCAGGCACAGAGAGGAAAACGTTTAAAGCAAGCAGGGTGCACCCACAGTAAACCTGCTCCACGCGTTAAACTGACAGAGCTCTGGCCACCAAGAATCAGGGGATCCCAAGAAGGACAAAGACCCACCAAGATGTCAGCATGAGCCACCAAGTCTGGCCATAGTGACTTCCATGGGGGACTTCTGCCACCGGGCCCTGCTGAAAGGTACTTTCCTGGCCAAAGGGGCAAGCAGCAAGCAAGAGAGTCCTCCCACAGTCCTTCCCCTTTCTCTCTCTTCTACATCCACCCAGCAAAGCCACTGAGCAGCTGCCATGTTCTAGGCATGACACTAGGTACCAAAAATAAAAGGAGAAACAAGTTTCTCACCCTGGGGAACTCGTGGGAGGAAGAAGGGAGTCCATTCACAAGCATGGAGATACTATTTTCATCGTACAAAAACAAAGTCTGGAATGGGCAGGGTTGTAGAGCCCCAGTGGCTGGTAAGGCCACAATCAGAGACAGGTCTCAGCAGAGACGACATTTGATCTGGGTCTTGCAGCATGAGTAGGAGTTCTCCCAGAAGATGAAGGGAACCTGAATGGACTGGCTAGGACATGGTAGCTAAGATTGGGATCCTGGTCACCCTGGAGAGTCAGTGGGACACTGTATGTGTTGCATCCTGGGCTTGGATGGTGGACATACTGCCTTCAGCAGGTGACACTAAGCAGAGCCACGCTCAGCGTCAAGCCCTCCTCTGAGCCTGTGGGTAAGGGTCAGGCTGGTCATCCAGGCCATCCAGGCAAGAGCTCTGCTCCCACATCCCTTGCTTCAGCTTCCTGCCTTCCCGTTGTTCTCCACTAGCCATTCTGCCACTCCGTCTCTCTCCCAAGAAACCAAACCTACAACACAACAGAGGGGAAGGTACGGCTGTAACTTAGAAATAAATGGTCCTCACAGAAATGAAGAGCTCCCACCAATGGGAAACATGAGCCAGCTCCAGTTTCATGATGAAGACTCAATCGGTTTCCAATAGCCCCGGCCTGGAGAAGGGCTGGGAGCCCATGCCCCCCAGGGAGCCGCTCTCCATTCTGAGTTCTCTCCATCCCCCTGGTTCCTAAACCCCAACACCACATGCACAGGACGAGGCTGCAGGGTAGGGAGGTCACATCCTAGAAAAGTCATCACATCAGGTCAGGGATCAGGGGCAGAGTCGTGCGCAAAGCTACAGTACTGCTAATGCAAGGCATACAGCCGCTGCCCAGATCCCTGGGTGAGTACACCGACAAAGGGGTGCTCAGAATATCTCAAAATCATGTGCAAAGCTGGGCGCTGTGATGCAGGACTATCATTCCAGCACTATAGGAGGCTGAGGCAGGAGGATCACAAGTTTAAACCCAGACTGGGCAACTTAACAACTTTGTGAGACTTGTTTTATAACAAAAGAAAAAAAGAGTGCTGAGGATGTAGCTCAGTGTAAAGGCCCTCGGTTCAATTCCCAGAACCAGGGAGCTGCTGGGGAAACACAAACATGCAAGCAGATGCAATTCCTCTACAGCTTACTTGTTCCCCTCAAACCCCTGTCCCCGCTCCAATCCAAGGGGCCAACTGAGTCATGTGGGGGCTCAGGACGGGAAATTGAGGTAACAGAACTCACCTTCTCCACCTCAGATCCCTGGCTGAGAAGCCCAAGGTTGGAGACAAATTAATTTGCCTTCAGGTGCTAGAGCTTGTCCATTCATGATAATCCCCCTCCTGAGCCAGTCTGGACCTGCTTTCCATGAACACTGCGCCTCTGGTTGAGGGCTAACCTGGTATCAGCCTTGAGTGGCTGGAGAATCATGCTGCTCATTCATGTACTCTGAGGAAGCTGCATTGCCAGGGATTTGTTAAATAAAACACCACGGTATTTCCTTCACTTGTTTTGACCTGCCTGGCTGTCTTTGTTTACAGATTACAGACGGAACCATTCTGTCCGCTGGTTTTCTAATGTGCCAAGCACATGTGAGAGTGGCTTGCTGATTCCAGTCCTTGTAGGGAGGCTTGTTCCCATGACACTGTGCAGGTGAGCAGGCATCTTCCCCTCTCTTGCTCCGTGGCAGACCTCAGAGGACCAAAGCCTAGAGGCTAGAGGCTAGAGGAGTCTCAGGAAGGGGAGGGATCAGGTAGAGCCCACCCTCCAGGCAAGTGTTTTGGAGGAAGCAGGACAGGACAGCTCTCAGGACCAGGGAGAAGCAGGTGGGACCCATCCCAGCGGCCCTGAGCCAGGGGTTCCCCAGGAGCTACATAGAATCTGAAGTGGTCTCACCTAGGCAGTTCAAAGTAGCAAAGTGGTCACCTTGATACCTGAAAGCAAGCCAAGGGGAAGTCTGGAAATACCTAGGGACAGGTTA